ATATATATATATATATAAATTCTACGATGTAATAGAAACGTGTTGCAGTCTCATTTCTTGATTTTTAGTAATTGTGCTAATTTTTTGTGTTAAAATTCAGGACATAACGTTTCGAAAGATTAATTTTTTAAGCAGTCGTATGTTAGTCCAAAAGTGTATTAACTATTTTATCAAATATTAAAAAATTCCATTTTTAGTGTTTTTCATTTATTTTTTTAAACTGTGGTTAAAAATGTATGTTACTAATTAACAGTAGTTTTTCAGACTTTTAAAACTAAAAAAAACAAAAAATTCTAACGAAGTGACAGTTATTTTTGCCTTGTCCTTAGTTTCTTAATAAGAAATAAAATAGTAAAGAGATTCTTCACTTTTGATTTTTGTCATCTTGAACTACTAAATTTTTCCTTAATATTTTTTTCAGCATTTCAAACAGCCTAATTTAGTTCCTCTTTGAAACTTATTTTTGTGGACGGTATTTTTAGCTAAATATTAGTTATCAAAAATCTAAATAATGGTCATCAAAGTTGTTTGTAAATTGCTTGCGTACAATTAGATTCAAAGAAAGTCTTATATCTGTAATATTTATAGTACTTCTCTTTTAATTTGATCCATTATATTCACGAAAAAAAAAAAACACTAAACATTCTAATTTTTTAATTTTTTCCTTTAAATATTTCAAAAGAAATTTTATTCCGTAAACATAAACAATAGCTTAAAGCGAAAGGATAATTTTTGAAAAGAATATACTGCTGTAAACTTTTCAATTTATTATATTTATAATGATTATACAAAAGCTTTCAGATATTTGTTACATATTTGTTTTGAGAACAGCAAGAAACGTCATTTCCTAGAATAGTTCTTATATTCATTGTTTTAGCAAAATTAGTACTAATTGGTTATTTTCTTCTAAAATCTCCTCCCAACATTAAATGGGTCCAATACTTCAATTCTTGCCAGCAATATCTTTTTTTACCTTTATTGCTACGCTAATAAGTACAAGAAATTTTAGGCGAATGACACAGTTCATTAATATATTGAATTTTTGATGTTGAAAATATGAGGAAACCTTATGCAAAATGAATGTATTTAAAGTATAGGATAATATACTTCAGCAAAAACATTTACCTGGTACTCGAGCATCATCTAAATAAAATAAAAACAAAGGTAATTTTTATTTCAAAAATGTCTTGCAATTTTTTAGCAAATTTAATTGTAAATATTTTTTAAACTTTTTCTCGTAAATGAAATAAAATTTTGTATAAAGATTAATTGAAATATAATTTTTTTTTACTGCAGATGACAGTCATTTTGATTCTCTATGCATGTCATTTTGACTCTCCTTTCAGACTAAACCGATCACATATATATGATACAATTATGAAAAAAGGTAATACAATTATCAAATTAATGAAAATATAGGAAAATAAGAAAAGCTATATTTTTGATTATCAGTGAAATTAAGAAAATAGAAAAGAAATTAAATAATTTTTAATAAATTATTATCAGAAAAAATTTATTATCAAAGTAAAGATATTAAAAATCTAACAACTGTTTAGTTAAAAGCTTTATTTACTTACAATTGTAATGATTTTAAACTATAAACTACGCCAAGACATTTGAAAATAACTGTCAAAGATTGATTTGCTGTTAGAATTTTATTTTCAGTTGAAAATGGATTAATCAAGAAATTATAATTATTATTGGTATACTAAACAAGTCATAAAAATATAAATGTTAAGTATATTTATACTCAGAAAAATTAAATCGAAAGAAAAATACGGCTTTGATACCAAACCATGTAGTTATCTAAAGTTACTTTTTAATTGATTGTTTGCCAGGAAATTCTTATTTAATGAAAAAATATATTAATTAAAAATGAGTGCAGGAAAAAATATATGAACAAGTGAAAAGAATAATTTCCTGATTAACAATTTAAATAAATGGAAAGATCAAATCTATAAATTTCATGAGAATCAAGAGAAACTATAAGGAATGATTTAATTTCGTTTATTTTTAATTCGATAAATTTTTGTATCATCACTCAACAGGTAATGTTAAAATCATCAATTTAGATAAATGTCTTTTAATCGGCAAATTTTGCTTTTAAATGAAAAATTATTGATTGAGAATTTTTTATTTATAATTATAACTTAACGACTGCATTGTGTGTTTATTAGTAAACTGAAAATAAAGATATTAAAAAAAAAATATTTACTTACAGTTCTTAAAGGTGGAGACAAAAATCAATAGCAAATAAATTAAATTTAAACTAAAATAAAACCTATGTAATCCCATTTTAACTAGAGTCGCCAATAGCATGGATAGTTTCATAAGCTCAGAAAAAGAAATGTTATTAAAAGAGCTAATGTTTAGTATTGTGTCAAGTCTTAAGCTCCGAGATCACGCCCGAAAATTCAATAATTGCTTTAGTAAATGTACTAAAGAATATTTTTATTGCACGATTTATAAGCAAGATAAGGTTTAATAAGTAGAGGCAAGACCATAAAGTAATCATAAGTTCTGGCAGTGATTTAGGCTACAGTATTATGTTTTGGAAATGGAGGGTTTATCAAATGCTTGATCTCACAGACAGAAAATGTTACGCAATTAATAGGAAATAAAAATAAAGCTTTTTATGTTATGTGCATGGGATAAGTAAAGCACGTTTTTTTTTAAAAGTGTGCTTTTTTTACATCTAGAATCAATGCTAAAATTTTCTCTCTAAAATTATGACAAAATAACTGGTAGCAATGTGTAAATTTAATGAATCGTAAAGATCGCAAAAAACGACTTTGCGATTTTGAAACCGTTTGCAACTAGAGCAGTAAAAAACCTGAGTATAAAACTAAACTTATATTTTTCATTCCATAATTCAGATAGGTTCAAGATCACATCAAGCGTAAAAGCATATGTGTACTAGAGCACCAAATTAATATTCCGAAATTCTTTTATTACTCCTTGTTTTTTAAAGTTAACTTTTGAAAAGCGTTTTCAAAATATTAAGGAATTTAAAAGCTACGGTAATTTAACAAAAAAGAAAAGTAATGTACTAAAAAGCAAAATTAATAGAAAAAGGTTTTATTCATTTCAAGAAATCTTTAAAAAAATGGATTCTTGGTTTGACACTAATGTTGCTTAATTAAATTCGACTTTTTGACTTAATGATATAAGTCGAGTTTCAATACGTACCAAATGCACAAATAAAGTAACTTAATATTGGTACCTTCATACCTAATATGCTTAATGTGATAATAGGTTTTTGTACCTCGGTCTCCGAAATGAAGTGGTAATAGGTTTTGTCTCTCGAAAGCGATGAGCGATTTTTTACTATTATGAGTTGGCCTTGAGCAAATTCATAACAATCGAAATTAATAAGGAAAAACTATTTTGTTATCATTTTTGTTAATATAGTTAATATTATTTCTGATGGGGAAAATTTTAAAATATATTTTTGCTTAATTTACTAACATAAAGTAGCCGGATCTTGTAACAAATTTGATAAATAAAAAAAATGGAATTATTTTTTACTCATTCATTGTTTCAGTTCATGCCTTACTTTTTTACATGGTTTAATATTGTTAATAAATACCGATTAAGTGATTATATACTTTTTTCTCCACTCCGGACAAATAACGGGCATTCAACAAGTCCAAAGTAAAATGTAATAAAAAATTATATAAGAATTGCATATTCTTATTATAACGATATTTGTTTTCTTAATTGCTTCATTCAGATACGTGCCAGTGATAAATTGTATTTTAAAAACTGATCCAATTGTCTCAGATTCACTAAGTACAATACAATAGCTAATTTACATGCTTTAATACTGTAGAGCATTGTTAATAACTGTTCCTATTGCCATCTGAAAAATGTGGCTTTAATAAATTGACATTTTCATTTAAATGATTTTATTGAGTATTGTAACAAATTTTCTATACATACTGAATTATAAATTATATATTAAACAACTCAAGCGCATTTATCTAACTTATTTTGCAAATTAATGTTTTTAAACGTTATATTTTACATGAAAAAAAAACTAAAATTCTCATTTAAGAAAATAAACTGCTTCAACCAAACGGTTTATGTAAGCATTTTTTAAGTTTAATTTTAAAACAAACTTTGGTTCGAATGCAAAATAATTAAAACTCTTACGTTGAAAAAAAATGAATTTCATTCTCGTTAAAAAAAAATCTTTTTCTTCTTTTTAACATCAACCCATAGCTTTTTTTTTATTTAAAGAAAGTGCGTAATAACAACATTAAGCCTTTTCTTTCCCTAATTTTAATTCCCCATCTCAAAATGTTTAGTGTATAAAAATCAGCTTAATTGCCTTATCCTCAGAGTAAATTTCAAAGGATTTTAAAAATAATGATGTTATCGATTTGAATCGAAAGATATGAAATATAAATAGCTTTTTGTGGTTTAGTAAAATGAAAGAAAAAATATATGAAATATTTCTTGCGGATATTTCTTATTATCATTAAGAAATATCAGCTGGCTAAACATTTACCTTATGACGTTTGAAACCGGAGTGTTTATTAAACCTTATCGTAGAATAAAGAAAAACATATTCAATTGTTTTTGATATTAATTAGCTGCTCCAGTACACAGTTACCAAACACTAATAAATATAATAATAAAGTCTAATGATTATAATATATCTCTGAAAACAAATAAATTCCTGTTTTTATACACTTACTAAAAATCATTTAATTGGAGAATTTCAGAATATTTATAACACTAATATGACGTAAATAACAGTGACTCAAATCTGATTTAAGAATTATGAGTTTCTATGATAACTCAAGAAATCTTTGTGAAATAGAACTAAAAACTTAAAATACGAAGATAAATTTTAATGTCACAATTCTGAAGTCTATATTAAAATATTTTAAAAGAATGTATTATAATTATGTGAAAAAAAATCAAAAACTTTAAATTCATTGACTTAATAAGATATTTGAAAAGACAAATGATAAAATAAAAATAGCCTAGACTCTTTATGGAATAGAAATAATATGAACACATGACAAATATTATTATTAAAGAAAAATATTGATTCCTAATTTGTGCTTGTTATTCATGTGAAAAATGTCTGTAACAGAATTAAGATATTTCTATGCTAGTTTGTTCCGTGTTATAAAAGCTGTTATTTTAACAATTATTTTGTTTAAATTAGCAAATTTTGAAAGGCCTGCTCACGTTTCCGTTGCTTACACTTACACTATTGAACGTGCTTGTATAATTGCAAATCATGTAAATACAACGGAAATAATGAAATAAAGTTGAAGTTATATACTAATTGCCAATTAACCGAAAACAATTTTTAATTTGTTATCAAATGTTACAATTGAAACATTTTCTTAAATGATATTTCTTACTACAATGGATTCTCAAATCTATATGAATATTCTTGAATCATATTCCAACACAAGCAAGTTTTAATATGTTTCGCAGCTTCATTAGTGAACAAAATTAAATATAATGACAAAAATTTCAAGGGATAAATAAGCAAGAAAGTAACTTCAAATAGAAAAAAAAATTCTTTTGGAGGTTTTTTTTTCTAAAATGTTAAACTAATTTGAAATACTACTATCTGAATATTCCATATATGTCTGATTTTAAGAGAAAAATCGACAATGGAATATGTTCATTCGTTGGAATACGATTCAAGAATATTCATTTAGCTTTGTGAATCCATACTGTCTTTTTAATTATTTGAAAAAAATAATGTCAATTCTCTTTCTGATAAAGTATATAAATAAAAAAATAATACTCTTTTTGATATAAAAATAACATTTTAATTGATGCAATATTTCTAAGACAATTATATATTTAAAATTAAAATAATATAACCATGGAATTATTTATAGCAGATAATGATGTCTCGGTATAATGAAGTTTGAATTACAAATAAAAATAATCTATGTAAATAAAGTAGAAAATTTATATACACGTATGCATGCATTAATGCATGTATGCATGTACTTTATAAAAATCCGTGATTCTGAGCCTATCCGCACAAAATTTGATATAAATATGTACGAAGGCACGGTGGATCTAACTGTCTACTTCAAAACTTTTTTTGATCACCGGTTCACATGCCAAATCCCAAAGAAGGAGTTAAAAATAGAATTTGATGAATCGATAATAATGAAATGAACAGTTCGCTTGCATGTGTGCGGATGTGACCCTCTAAAAAATAAACTATGTTAACATACCTAATTATATTTAAATTCATAACCAAATTATATTTAAATTTACAATGTTTGACCAAAAGAATTGATTAATTTCGGTTATAGGCACTAATCGAAATAAAAAAAATAAGTTGCGTACTGAAAATAAACATTCATGACGAAATACTATTAATTCACTTAGAAGAAGCGTAAAAAATCACCGTTAATTATTGATATGTTGCTTAATTAATTTTGAAAATAGGTAACTGAATTTAAAAAAATTAATTATGCACTAAATATCAAACTTAATGGAAATATGGTACTGATTCGTTTTGGAAGAAAGCAAAGTCTTGCCGTAATGTTTTTGATGTTTTATTAATTTTGGTAGCAGGTTTTGCATTGTGTTAAATTTTGACCATTTTGAGTTGCCTTTGAGCGAGTCATTTCACAGAGTACTGAACGTAGTTAATCGTTATTGTGAATGGGATAAAGTATTAAAAAAGTGTTTTGCTTAATCTAATAACGTAAGGACACCGGAAAGGTCAAAAATAATAATAAATGAAAAAATTAATGATATTTGTTTTATTAAATTTATCTAATTAAAAGTGGTTTTTAGCTCTAATGAGACTATAT